TTTTTTTATTTTTTTTATTTTTTTTATACTTCTACCTCCAACATTATCGGAGACTATTTCAGCTGTTTCTCTTTCATACCAGTTCTCGCTTCTATGCTTCTCGTACTTTCATTCTACATACTAGTTCTTTCTTGCATTCATCGTCTTTCTTTCTACTAAGGGTGGGATTCCCTTCTATCTATTCTTTATTATCTAATCTAACTACATTCTTATTTCTATTCTTTCCTTCTTTTTCCACTGCTGGGCATTATTTCAGGGAAGTAAATGTACACAACCTGATCTATTTTATTCTTGCTACTGCTTACTTGCTAACAATATTTTAATCTACTACAGTATTATGCTTATAAGTAATATACATCAATATATTAATACAGCATACTTTCTTAACTACTTTTATTTCTTACAATTACTTTTCTCGCTATTCTTACGCAATAATCTAGAAATACATTTCTTTGATCACTCTCCATGATATCCTTCACAGTTTCAGCCGTTATTTTGGTTTTCATCTTACTCTCAACTTCAAAACGTTCTATGCCAAAGACGGGGCATTCTAACACTATGTGAGGGATTGACTCGGGTATCGCAGGGTCGCAGATACACGATGGACTCTCCTTGCACTTAAAACGGTTTAAGTACTCGGAGAATCCACCGTGTCCTGTCATCACTTGTGTTTTGTGACTATCTATTTTAATCTTACGGACAATTCTATATGCATTTACTGCATCCGGGAAAAACATTTTTGTAACTGCGGCCGTTTCACCTGTCTTATATCTATGATTCCATTCGTCAAGCGTTGCCTGGCGAATGCACCGCTTGACGAATGAAACCGGACAAAGGTCGTAATCCGGTTTCTTCTTGGAGTTCTTGGCCGCTTCCTTCGCGAGTTGGTCTGCTCGTTCATTGCCTTCAAAACCTGCGTGAGCTTTTATCCAGAACAAGGTGACTACCTTGCCCTGGAGAGATATATCTTTAAGATTTTCTCTGGCTTCTACTGCGATTGGGTGAAGGCAACGGGGGTTCTTAATTGTAAGAAGGGCGGCCATAGAGTCGCTATAGATCCCGTAGGTCAAGGCGTTGTGTGCGCGAATGACTCGAGTAGCTCGGCTTATTGCTAGTAACTCAGCTTGGTAGACGGTACAGTATTCCGGCAGAGCAAGCTTGAGGGTTTTGGCCTCCATCCCGCCAGTCCATACAGATAATGCAGCGCCAACTTTGCCATCGATTTTGCTCCCATCCGTGTAAATATGCATATCGCAAACAACTGCATTGTTCACGTCGTCCTGATTTGCCAAGCTTACGATATTCAATTCGAGACATTCGGCCGGATGTGGAGTCTCAAGTGCTGATGCCATACGCTCGACCTCCCCCCCGGCCAGCACTGACTGGGGCAATCCCCTCTTGGCTTCGTACAATGAGGACGCCTCACGAACTCGGAGGTCTAGGGGGAGTATCCCAGCCAGCACCAGTGCCGAGTTCAGGGAGACCGTGCGGTAGGCCTTACAGAGCTTTTGGGCGATGCCCCGTTGTACAGTCTGCAGCTGCTTGATGACCATTAGTTTTTCTGCAGCCGACCCCCATGCTCCAGCAGCGTACAAGATGACTGGCTCCACTGTCGCCGTGTAAATGATTTTGACCACCTCCGGGTGAAGGCCCCAACTGACTTTTGCCGCTCCGGAGAGTTTCTTGTATATGTTTATGGCTTTCCTGCAAGCGTTTGCGACGTGGGTGTTAAAGGTCAGTTTATCGTCGATGGTCATACCCAGCAATTTTATTTCCTTCGACATGCCAACTGCAACCCCTCCCATGCTCAGTCGTGGTGTGTCGTGTTTAAGCTTTCTGGTGATTATCATAGCACATGTTTTGTGTGGAGCGAAGTTAAGCTTATTCTCGACACCCCACGACCTGACACGTTCGAGAGTTTCATTGGCACGATCCTGGACTTCTTGAGCTGTTTTGCCATCGAACACCAGCACGACATCGTCAGCAAACGCCTGACAGTAATCACCTCTGTCCGCAAGTTTTTTCAGGAGGGGATCAAGAAGGATGTTCCACAGGATAGGTCCCCCTATGGATCCCTGGACACATCCTTTGGTAGTCGCTTTCTTATACTCCTCACCGGCGTATCTGACCACCACCTCCCTGTCTCTAAGATAGCTGTCTATGACCCTCCTCAAATTGAGGGGACAATTTTCCTCAGCCAGTCGGACTCTTATTGCCGGCCACCAGGCGCTATCAAAGGCTCCCTCTATGTCTAAGGATACTAGAGTTATTATTTTCTTTTCATCTAGCTTTCTACGGATATACTGAATTAGCGTATAGAGGGAGTCCTCGGTGCTTTTTTGCGGCATGAATCCATACTGGTGAGTACTAATCCTCGGCAGTAGATGGTGTTTGAGGCGGGCCATGATCATCTTTTCGTAAATCTTTCCTAGTATAGGCAACAGTCCTATTGGCCTATAGGATTTTGGCTTTGTGTAGTCATCCTTACCGGGTTTTCTTAGGACGACGACTATTGCTTGTTTCCATATCTTGGGGAAGTGGTGGTATTCTAGACATTTATTGAGGAGCGCTAAGAATAACCTAGGTTGGGCCCTAATGGCACGGCAACATATATCGGCCGTGAAGCCATCCAATCCCGGTGCCTTCTTTGGGTTGAAAGACTCACTTGCTTGAGTTAATTCAAACATTGTGAACGGGGGGGTCACAAGAGCCATCTTGATCTGCGGCGTTCACTCTGTCGGCCTCGAGTCTTACGTAGCGATGGTGAGTATTGTCTCTGTCGGGTACATCCTCTGGATAGAATGTTTTGGCCAGCAGTTCTACAGAGCCCCTCTCGTCCAACATCCCCTCCTCGCCCTCCAGTGGTAGATCCTGTTCCCTATGCGTCGTTCTTCCTATGATCCTGTATATCCCCTCCCACACTCCCTCTTTATCCTGCTTGCAACAAAACTCTTTCCAGCTCTCTGTCTGGGCCTTCGCTGTCTCTGACTCATACTCCTCTTTCTGTTTCAGGTACTCTTCTATGACCTTCTGCTTTCGGATTGGAGCGGCACACCTAATTCTGCGCTTCTTCGTAGCGACGTTCTTTTTAAGCTCTGCGAGTTTTTTGGACCACCACGGCAGTCTGATGCGTTCTTCCGCTTTCTTAGTTGGCATCGTTGATAGACAGGTTTGTTTTATTGAGTTTGTCAAATTTTTTGTAACTGTATCCAAATCGTTTATATTGTCAATTTTATTTATATCATTTTCTGTTATTCTATTTTCTTGTAGTGATTGTCCAAGTTGCTCATGAAACTTGGACCAATCAGCTTTTTTAGTATTAAAAAGTCTTGTTGTCCTGTTTATCATTATGCCTTCCGATTTTTCTAGGCGAATCTCAAACAGTATGCCGTTGTGGTCCGAACTCATCAGGCCTTCGTTTATCCTCCAGTTGTCCACTAGAGCCAGAAGATTTGTCGAGCAGGCTGTTATGTCGACATAGCTGTGGTACCGTTTTCCTCCCCGAATGGTGTCAAAGGTCGGAATTTCCCCTACGTTGAGTATATTGAGGCCCATTTCCTCAAGAGCGCCGGACATTTCGTCACCCCTGTGATCAATTATTGGGCTACCCCACCACGAGCTTTTTGCATTAGCGTCACCTCCGATAATCCACTTGTTTGGTCCTACTAGTTGTTCTATTTTCTTCAGGTGCTCCAGGTATGGCTCAATGGGTTGATCCGGCTCAAAGTAAAGCGAGACTACTGTGATTTCCCAGGCACTGGTTTGAATCCCCACCACTACGATGTTGTCTGTGGTGAGTTTCGGATACTGCTTAACATTGAGTTGGTGGTCGAAAACAGCAATAGCCGCTTTAACAGTCCCATCTCCTTGTCCTGTGCTCTGGATGATCCGTACTCCTTGGTAGCCACGCATTGCCTTGGACCTTCCCACGTATGGCTCCTGGAGAAGAGCAACAGCAGTGCCTCGTTTCTGTGCCTCAAGAAGAATCTCGTTTGTGGCTAACTTCTTTCTTTGGAGGTTTGCTTGAATGAATTTATACTGGGAGGTTTCCGCTTGGTCGCCCTTAGCAGTAGGCTACAGATGATCGTGCTATCTTATCCCATTTTTGGCGAATAGGGCAATCACGGCTAAAGGCGTTATGCTCTGCCTGATCCAGTTTAGCCCTTGTGCAGTTCTTACAAGCGGGTGGTTCACCAGCAATCCTATCAGCACACTCCGCTCCCTGGTGAGGGCCGCCGCAATGGCTGCATATGTCTGCTGGTTCTTTGCAAAATTTTTTACTATGCCCATATCCCAGGCAGCGGCTACACTGGACCAAGGGGGAGTGGTCATCCACTCTGACACGCTGGAGGTCAATATGGAAGTATCCAATTTCTGTTGCTCTACGCCAGATGGTAGGTGACACACTAATCACTACATGGTTAGTGTGGGGGTTTCTTGTTTTCTTCCTATATTTAACCTCCACCCTGTCTTCCGCTCCGTCGAGGTCATGAAAGACATACCTGTTTTGGTTCCTCAGTGCTATGATAATGTCTTCGTCGGTGTTAATGGACAATACACTTAAGAGGATCAATAATGGGTCTTTGTTCTTCACTTCCTCGACGGTGAGGTCCACCCCTTTGGTTTCCAGTCTGTGCTTGGCTTTACTTCTTTCTTCCGGTGTATCAAATCCTATGATGATTTTCCTGTCCTTCGCTTTCCTTACCCGTTCAACTTTAATCCAGCCGTCTTTTGCATCTACCGCTTTCCTGACCTTGTCGAGCACCTCTTCCCCTGATTCAGTTTCATCTTTTGAGGTGACCACTACCGAGTGCAGCGTGCTTCGTACTTTTGGTATGTTTGCAGTTTTATTCGATACTACACTCGCGTAGGTTGCCCGTTCCAAGGTCTCCTTTTGTCTGTCAATAGACGCCTTGAGCTCTTCTATCTTTTTGTTGCTTTCGATCAACAGCTTCGTATGCTCCTCGATTCGAGCTATTATGTTTGGGTCGCACTGGGTGCTACTTGTTGGTTCCGGTGTCCTGACTATGAATGTAGAGTCGGTGCTGGTTTGCACCGGCTCCCCCCCCCACAATCCCATCACCAACACCAACACCTTTAGACTTTTCTATTTTTAACTCCTTTTCAGCTTCCCTAACAATCTGGTAGAGTCGATCAAGTGCCTCAACCAATCCATTTTTAATCTCGGTTTTTAAATTTCGAGAGGCGCTCAGATGTAATTTACCTTTGTTCAGGCAGGCCCTTGCTTCCGACGTTCGATTTTCGTATTTACTCCCATGAGGAGTTTGGACATCGATAGATGGTCTACGCGCGGCCGTGGGTTTGTTGTCTTTCGACAGTACCGGTCGTGGTTTAGAGGTAGTATTGTCCACCTGGACCGTCGTTGCGCTTGAGTTTGTTGGAGCGGGGTTGGTGGATGCACCTTCCCAGTCGCTTATGCTTCGCCTAACATTGGGAGGGGAAGCTGACGTTCCTGGTTTAGGGGGGGATGACACCTCACCACTCGGTTTCATTGGAGTTCTAAGCCCAAACATAATGGAGGTATGCGTCCGTCAGTAAAATTGTATAAATAAAATAATAAAGTGTATAAGGTAAAATAAAATTTAATCTATATGCAGTTTAACACACCACCGCGAACCCAGGTCAAGCCTCAATAAATTTCTACCCATACAAGTAGCAAGTAAATTAAAATAAAAACCAAATAAAATAAAATAAACAAAAATGTGTAAGCTCTTGTAGAGTCTCGACTCTACGTCGTTATATATTTATACCACTCTACAAAGTGGCTCGATGTCTATATCCAAAATAACTTCTGTGCCACCACAGCTGTCACTTAAAATCTAATTATTTATCTTATATATAAAATAAAATGAGGAAAATATGGAACTTATGTAGTGTAATATTGTATACAATTTTTGGTTAATTCTATATGGAGTCCAACTACATAAATGACAAGTAATATAAAATAAAATGAAATAATATAAAAACAACAAAAACTAATTTCTTTATAATGCTCTACATAGAGTCAGTCTCCGTCTATTCTGTCGGTTCTATACTAAGGCTTCAACGAGGTCTGTCTTAAATATTAAAAATTTTTTGAAAATATTATATACACGGAGAGTTATAGACTAATAGGTCTTTGACTCTATGTAGAGTCTGTATTTCGTAACCGGCCAAAAGCGCTCCTCGAACCCTATTCGAGGAACCCAAACTCGGTATACCTAGCCCAATGGGTTCGAAAGTTACCGCGTTTTCAAGTTCTGGTTGAAAAACAAGATGGCTGCCAAAATACGGTTTCCGCGCTGTAACTTCCAAACGAACAGGCTTACAGCTCCGTGCTTGGGCTCATATTATTGGGCTCGACTAGGACTATAATTTTGTGTGGTTTTCAGGGATCAAAATTTTGGGTGCTGAAATTCCCTGAAAGCTGGGTTATCTGTTCCGGCACTATTTGCCAACGTCTAGGGTCCAAACCCCAGTCCTCTACGACTCCTAGAACAAAAGTTATTCCGGTCCTAATTTTTTCAAAATGGCCGCCAGTCCAGACAGCAAACGGCTATTTCGGGCGTCTTTTGACCGATTTGGCCCGTGTTTGGGCTCCTTTGAAAAGTCTCGGTGTCAAGCTTAAAGTTTTGTAAATATTTTGGCGATTAAAGCCCCTTTTAATAATAATTTAAACAAAAAAACATATAATTTTTTAGAAAATTTTTGAATTTTTCGACCAAATTTAGTTTTAAAAATCTACAAAAATTTTGAGACGTTATGCTCAGTGTCCTTTCTATGAATATATATTTTTAAAATTTTTAACACGTTATATTAGGTATCATATGGTTATTTAAAAAAATTTAAAAAATTTTAACTTAAAAACTACTTATTGCAAAATTCTAAATTTTAATATACACATTTAATATACTAATCTTAACACTATTTTATTCTAAAAACCAAGGGCTTCAATTTCGTTATTGAGTAATTTAATAAACAAATTTTTCCAAAACTTAAAAGTCCAATATTTCTTTAACCACTTAACTTAAAATAGTTTCAAAAACTGCTCCCGGCTCCACTCCGCGTTCGCTAACAGAATGTGGCTCCAAAAACAGCCGCACGATTCTGCATCGCAGAACACGTGCCCACGTGTTACTTGTTTTTTTGGGTTTTTCTCACAAACTGTTATTCACAAAAATCTCAAATTTTGCACATTTGTAGGGACCACTGATAGCTTTAAAGCCGCACTATAAAAATGTGGGGTCTTCACTTTAGATTTTGAAAAATTTAATTTTGAAATTTTGGCAAAATTTAAAAGTTCAATAATTCTTTAACCACTTAACTTAATTTTGTTCCGAAAACTGCTCCAGGCTCTTCTCCACTTGTGCTACCGAAATGCGACTTCAGAAGTAGCCGCACGATTTCGGATCATGAAACACGTGCCCACGTGGCACTTGTTTTTTTGCGTTTTTCTCCGAAACTATGCTTCGGAAAAATCTCAAATTTTGTTCGTATGTAGGGGCCACCTATAGCTTTAGAGCCACACTATAAAAAGTTGGGGTCAAAGCGCTTAATCGAACAGCGTTCCACTTTAAAGATTTTTTACTTTTTGAAAAACACTTTTTTCCGAATAACTTTTCAACCAAAACTCCGATTTTCTAACACTTTCCACTTATTTAAACCTCTCGACGAGACGCGTCTTTTGGTATATCGCACGTAAAAATCCGATGCAAAAAACCTATTTTTACGTATTTTTAAGCGCGGAGCGACTCACAAACGTGGCGTTCGGGACAGCAGTTGACACCGGACTCGGGTTAGGTTAGGTTAGGTTAGGTTAGGTTAGGTTAGGTTAGGTTAGGTTGCGTTAGGTTAGGTTAGGTTAGGTTAGGTTAGGTTAGGTTAGGTTAGGTTAGGTTAGGTTAGGTTAGGTTAGGTTAGGTTAGGTTAGGTTAGGTTAGGTTGAGTTAGGTTAGGTTGGGTTAGGTTAGGTTAGGTTAGGTTAGGTTAGGTTAGGTTAGGTTAGGTTAGGTTAGGTTAGGTTAGGTTAGGTTAGGTTAGGTTGGTTAGGTTAGGTTAGGTTAGGTTAGGTTAGGTTAGGTTAGGTTAGGTTAGGTTAGGTTAGGTTAGGTTAGGTTAGGTTAGGTTAGGTTAGGTTAGGTTAGGTTAGGTTAGGTTAGGTTAGGTTAGGTTAGGTTAGGTTAGGTTAGGTTAGGTTAGGTTAGGTTAGGTTAGGTTAGGTTA